CCCCCCCCTTAAAGAAAATACAACAGTTTTGCAAAGCAAGTTGAGATGCTACTTACTTGTCATTATAATATAAACTTCTAGCAACAGCATGTATGCAGGCAGGGATCAGTGGAAAACCTGTGAAGAAAAAACAATGTTGTCTTCATATGTAAACCTGGCTAACAGCTAAGTAAACTTGCATCTCTTGCAGGAATCTTCTGTATTTTTACCTCATTCAAACTATACACCTGGAGAGTAAATAAAGTAACAGGGACCGATTCCGTTTCTATTCTCAAGATTTCTTTCTGAGGGGGGTAGTATGAAACCTTATTCCCACTGTTTTGCCAGAAAATTCTTACCAACATACAGAAAGAAAAGGCAAATCAAATTATAAAACTTTTCAGATTGCAACAATCAATCTTCATTAACACAGATGCTTTTTCAGACTGCAGTCTGCAATAATGCTAGATAGGTAGGCAATATTAAAAAGGTAATAATATATATGACCATAGCTTTGGCAGTGTGATTAACAGTATTGACATGTCCTCACTGACACTTGCTGGGTATTCAGAAACAAGGTCATCTGCAAAACAAAACTCTGGAAATCAAAATTTTAATAGACAAATTAGTTATCTGGGGTCCTTGACACTCTGATGGTACCTATTTTTCAGAAACTGCTGAGCACCTATGATCTTTTAATCCCATCTCAGCTGTGTCTGTAGTGGGACAGTTAGTGATCCAGGTACCAAGTCACGTTACAGCTGAATGTGCCAATACACAGAAGCTGAGGAGAAAGCCCTCACTTGCCCTTTGTGAATGTGCTGTTGTGCGTTATCTGAAATGACCAGGTTTGGCTTGTTAGTTTTGATACTGATATTACTTGAGATCTTCAGCTACAGCTATTCTGTATTTACTTAGTGAACAATACAGGTCAAATGGAACTGCTGGAAAAATAAATCCTTGGCCATCTCTAACTCAGTTCTGACCCTCCACCCTAGACATGGCGAGACTTCTCTGAAAACAAACATTCATTCCTGAATAAACATCTTTGAGATGAGGAACAATGAATAATTACTTCTTCATGTCTTTTTTATAATAGCAGACTATTTTCTCTGTACAAAGGAGGAGTTGCTTCCTGACTCCAGAAACGCATAATCTCTCTTTCAGTAAAGACAGAGGTACATACAACTTCCTACGTTAATATTTCTAAGGCTGTTAAAACACCACAGACAAAGAAGAGGGATGTGTCATCATTGCTCAAAGATACCAGCTCAGAGAAGCAAAGGTACAGATGTTCAAATTCTCATGAAAAGAAGGAAGAGATGGTATTGGCCTGCAAATACAGAACATGAAATTGCATACCCCAGCCAAGAAGATAATACCACATCAAGTGTTGTTTCTCGGCAAAAACAGCCACCACAATGAGAGTATGCAGGTAAATGCCTTCACACAACATCCAAAAGTAGTTGCAACCCATTAGGTACAGGTAGATGAACTGTGACACTTTGCAGCTAACCTGCAGAAAAAAGCAGAGTAATATATAAATTTTTAAGTTGCAAAAATCTCAGAGATTTGTTTGCAAAATGGGACAAATTACTTCTGTAATGTTAAAATTGTCAAATGTTAATATTAATTATCTTTTTCATTACAATTACATTTCTTTTTTTTAAATAGAATTTTCATGGAATTGCAATTCCATACTTTATGGTGATAAAAAAATTTGGTAACTGAGTCTGTATTTTGATTTCTCAAACAATGAGGACCTTGAGATCTTCAAGCACGCATGGCAGAAAGCTGCAACAATATTTTCCCTTATTACAAATACTGCCATATTTGACTGTTCCAAATAATATGGATTTCTTAAATTATATGATGGTAACCACACAAGAAAAAGTACTTCGATGAAAGTAGTCCCTTCAGTTTTACCAATCGCAAGATATAATTACTCCAGAGAATGATTAATGTTTTTTAAATGTTTACAATACTTCCAACTTTAACCTAGTCATGACTGCACTTAGGGTCAGTTGAGAACTTGGGATAGTCGGTTCTGGAATGAAACTCTCTTGTTGGCATATATTTGTATCTAGCTTCATTCAAAAGATATTCTTCAATTGAAATGTTATAACTTATTGTGAAGACTAAAATGTGAGGTTGTGAAAAAGGAGCAATAGTTAACTTGCAGATTTGGATACAGTAGATTTTTATTTTTTTTTTTTCCTGAAATTGCTGTGTTTTGTTGATCTATTTCTGGCACTTGGCTTAAAACAAACCAAAAAAATTAATATTGTTTTACCATGTTCTGCTACCTAACTCGCTTGATGATGATTATCAGCAGCTATCTGAAGCCTGTTTTCCACCACTCTGATGAGCTTTTAACAGGAGAAGGAGAATTTAACTTTTTACTATTCAGATTCACCTTCTGGAGTTTTGCCATAACTTTCACAGAATTTAAATTTATCATCCAGGTCTAAATTAAAATAAAGCCATAGTTAGGCATTTGTTTGTTTGTGTATTTCATTTTCAGGGTCTTCTGTTGCTATAACTCCTAGCCTTTTGGGAGAAGCTACAGATTCACACTTACCCCAGAGTTATCAGGAAATGAGAGAGAGAAAAATCAGACCCAAACGGACAGCTTTTTTACTTTGCTTTTTACTTGTTACTAGCTTTTTACTTTTTTTACTGCTTTTTACTTTTTTTTACTTCTTTTTACTTGTTTTACTAGCTTTATCTTCTTACACACACACACACACACAAAAAAAAAAAAAAAGAAATAATGCTTCTCCTTTCAACTGTTTCTGCCTTTCCTTGGTGAATTCAACTGTTATAACCTCACTGACATCATCTAGAATACACTACTTGCAGTTGTTTCAGTGAGAAAGTGATTTGTAGAAATTCAGAAGAGCAGTTCAGTATGCTCCTTCTCTTAGGCTGTTATTACTATTTCAAAACCTCAAGTGCGAAATGCCCCAAACATTGTTAGACAGATGTACTACGTAACATGGATACATCATTACAGAACATTTTAACCTCGCTACATACAACATTTCATCAACTATTCATGTCTCATCCACGTTGCTGAAGTTTTGCACATAAAAATCAACAAGGCTGCCAAACATACTTTCACTTACTGGATTAGTTGCAACTAACTCCTGATTGTTGGCAACTGCAGTCAGTGAAATTATTGTTACAACAGAGTTGCAAACAAAAGAGAAAAATAGATTTTTATGCAGGGTAATCCTTTGGCAACTCAAGCTCCTAGAAAAGAGAAACAAGAACAAATGAATACATGGGGGGACAACTATGTGTACTTGAGAACAACTCTGAAATACTAGAGTTCTTTATTTTACTAAGAAGTCTTATATCAACCCTTCAGTTCCAGTCCAAATTTAATAGAATGATGCGAATGGTAACACCTTCCCTTAACCGCCAACAGGAGGCAAAGCAAGTACATTCCGTTCCAATATGTTTACAGTGAAGGACCTGCTTTGTAATGGTTATCCAAACAAGATTTAGATAGCAATAATATAATACGTTTCAGAGATTTATACCTTTCTTTTTGTTAGTACCTGAAGAATTTCCCAACTAACTATCATATCTGATCTTGAAGAAGTTGTCTTAGCCTTCATTTCCATTTACCCAAACCTGTTAAGATTTTGAGGATAATTCTCTTTTACTCACATTCTTGTTATTTTTCCTCCTTAATCCTATAGCTAGAGAAATACTCGAATAAGTAATGCAAATCTTGTCTTGACCTTTGTATATAACTAAGTTATAAACAGTATATAGGATACAATTATAAAATGCAATATATAACTGTATTTAATTGTGTCAATTTTCAAGGTTTGCTTTTCATCTTGCCACAAAATGAAAGATTAAAATATCTTTGTAAGGGATTTATTATTATTTTTTTTAAACAGAGGTCCAATATCCAATAAATTTAAACAATGCTAGAAGTTGAACATAATCGGAGCAAAATTCTGTTTATCTGCCTTTCTAGAGAAAGCAGGTCTAATTTAGTGCCATTTTAAGAGGCAGGGATGCTTCTCATTCAAGTTTTTCCAAAGAAATTCAGCTTTACAGACAAACACAAAAGTAGAAAGCCTATATGTATGTACATACAATTCAGACCATTGGGATATTAACGCTCAAAATTCCCAACAGAGCAAGTAACATCCATTTTGTTACGAAAGCAGATGGTCACTTTAACAAAGCTGGGTAAAAATGATCCTTTTAGATTTAAGGTAGGGGATGTGCAGCACAGTTGAGCAAACTAATTTGATCACAGCCATACAGCACATCCGTACCGGCAGGCAGGAATGGAGCACAATTTTGCAGAATGAGCATTGCTCAAGGAAACTTCTCCCACATGCAAAGAGAAGTGATAAAGAATGTGGTACTGTGGTCATGATCAGGAAATGCTCTTTGGTTACTTCGGAGAAAGAACCTTGTGAAGCCTCTGCTGTAAAAAGCCTGTGCCTTACAACTGCACTCACCTACCTTCATTTAATAGCCAGCACTAACAGAGTGCAGTCAACTGGCAAAGTGAAATGACTCACTGGAGGAGGAAAAATCTACCACTTACACATGCAAGTGCTCTTCATTGCTAAGAGAAATCAGAAACACATTGACAAGGTCAGCAGGGGGCAAGTCTAAATTGTCACACGGGGAAAAAAATCAAGTGTTCTAGCTTTTTCTAATGGCATTTCTGGAAGAAGAGATAAAGTATGGACAGTAATGCTTAATTTTACGTTTGGGAGGGCAGAAAGGAAAAAAAAATTGTATTTCAGAGGAATACAGATACAGAATAGTCACAAAAGCTGGAGGAATATACTGAAAACTCTTGAGAACGTGACAGATGAAACAAGAAACAAAATGACCTCAATGAACAAGAGAGAGTCAAGAGACTGTCTATAGAGGACACTGCACTTCGTGGCTGCATTCTTTGCAACTATCACAAGAAGAGCATATGAAGCACCCCACAGATACACGGAGTAAGTTAACAGGTTCAGATACGCACACTGCAATACCGTGAATCAGGTAGAGTTCCTGCAAGTCAAGCCTTGGAGCCCTGAGACATTCTAAGCCTTTATAGTCAGTAAATATGGGGGAAGGAAACGACTCTAGAAACCAGTGCTGCTGTGCACCACAAGGAACTACCCTACATGAACCTCTGTCTGCCAAGTGTTGTTTGCCTGAAGAAAACAGAAAAGAAAGTGTCCAAATACAGAACACAGGTTTGAATACGAATTATGTAAAAAATTATATTCCATTGGGCTTTTAAATTTTTTTTTTGTCTTTTATTTTAATGCCCAAAACACATAAAGCCTTGATTATTATAATATGCAATTTTTTATGTTCTTTGAAAATGTATTTTTATATGTTGGGGTTTTTTTTTTTTTTTTTTTTTTTTTTTTTTTTTTTTTCCCTGTATGATTTATATATGAAAGGAAAGGCAACACTAGATTCCAGCTAAGACCTTTGTGTAAACAGGTCCTGAAGAACTGTGGAATTCGGTCTGCTTATTGTTAAGTTTCAATACACAGGCAAGGAAAAGCACGTACAGCTAATGGGGCCATCTCTCAGGGTCATCCAGCAGCTGTTCCTGTTGAATATTCAAACACACCCATCCACACCCACCTCCACCCATGCATAAAAGGATTGAAAAGATCACCGGACAAGAAACAAGAAAGCAAGACTGATGACATTTAAAAATGAAGACTGCTTTTTTTCTTAAGCTTCCCCACCCTCCCTCTTCTATTACCCTTCCTATATTCCTTTTTCTGCTGTTTTCCTTAATGACATAATATCCTTTAATCACTTAATTCTCATCATTATGATCTAAGAACATTTGAATGACCTACCCCTGGATTAAACCATGGGCAGTAAAATAAAAACAGACCTCCTGCTAAATTACCTATTTCCCTTCCTATTTTGACTCCTCTATGTCTCGAACATTAGAGAAAAATTCATTTCTCCAATATTTCTCCAAAAGAAAGAAGGTAACATTTTTCAAAAGTCCCCAGATGTGTTTGAGATCTAATTTTTTAAGGTATTCAAATACTGCAAAATTCAACCAGTGAGCTCCACATATGCACCTAATGGCAATTATCTGCTCAGCTGAAGTTAACCTAAAGTGACTTAGAAACCTCCTCTCTATTAATCCATGATTCAGCTGTTTGCCCACTCTTTAAGCATAGTGTTGGAATCCTCTGTGAGTGCTGTCATGATGCTTGATCAACAACTCCTTTATTTCAGGTGGGGTTTTTTAATTTGTTTGTTTCAGGGTTTAAGTTGGGGGGGGGGGGGCATCTTTCAAATTATAGCTCCCCTTTCTCTGAATTCTTTTCTTTCAAAGTTTTCTCTTGCCTTGTTTTCCTTTCTTTATGAAAATCATAGAACTGTTTTAATTGAAGATTTATAATAAACACGTGTATGATCTAGAGGATATAACAGAACGAGAAAGCAAAGCCACTGCAAGAAGTTACTTTTATGTGTCACAGATGAATTTACAGAGGGGAAGATTGGAGTTCAAGTTTATAGCCCATCTTATGCTATTAAACCAAGAACTCCACTTGGGGAACACAAGTCACAAGCCACATAAGCATTTCCAATCAGACAATTTTCTAAAGAAAAAACAGAATTTCAAATGAAAAAATAAAATGCACAAAACCATTTCAATCTTAAAAAAAAATATTTAATTCAAAACCAAAATATTTGATATTTGAAAAGCTGGAGATATTTGAAAAAAACCTGTCATTTTTCCTACAGAGGAAAGTATAACCTTTCTAGTCAAACATAAAGATATTCTAATGGTCAGCAATCCAGCAAATATCATCTGGAAACGATCAATCGACTATAAGACTAAATTTTTTTGAAACATGAGAAATTCAAAGGCACCCCCACACAATAGCAAAAAAAAAAAAAAAAAAAAAAAAAAAAAAAGTCCACCTGTTAAAGCTATGAATAATTACACAAGCTTCAGCCGATACATAATACATCCTGGTATTAATCTAGATCCTTAAATACCCTTCTAGTACTAAAAATACTTTAGAGGAACTGTACATCCCAAGAGAACAGCTTGTAGAGAACTTTCTTTAGCTTCCTTTAAATTTTGTAATTTCCTTTTATATCCCAACATAACCACAGTCTATAAGATGCGGTTTGCTGGTCTGGATTAATTCCATGTGGTTCTCAGAGGACAGATGATCCTTCTACCAGAGGGAGAAGAAAATCCCTGGAGGGTTAGACAAACGCGACATAGTTGTAATAGTAGCAAAGCAGATCACCTGCTTTTGCAGTAAGTGCCACAAGCCAAGATGAAATTGGCTTGTTTTCATATTACAGTACAGAAAAATCATGCTTTACTGTCTCTGAACTTTTAAAATAATATTGTATTCCGAATATTTTTGTTTTCTCCTGAGCAGTCTATGTCAAAGCATTTTTCCTGTCACATTAAAGATGTAGTCTGTTAAACTTTTTGTGACATTTACAGTAACAGTATAGCCCTTTCTTACACAAAATCAAGCTTCTTCTAAGGACTTAGAGCCATTTCACATGCTGATTTTGTGGAGGGAAAGTGAATTTGGAAATGGTAAGCACTGTTTTTATAGGTCAAATGCAGATAAATTAAAGTGCACAAAAGTTTTGGTTTGTCCTCATGAAAAGAAGTCAGAAAAAGCTGAAAAGTCATCCTCAATATTAGGATTTCATAAAGAGAGGCTACAAAGTTGAAACACATTGGTTTGTTGGGGATTTGTGAAAATGTTATCCCAGAACCTGGGGAAATAATGCATATTTAAATTGTAAACACTGTATTCAGCCAGAGGGGACTAAAAAGGATAAATATTTTATTAGATATCTGCTTCCCCTACCTAATCAGGGTCCAGAGCATGAGAAAAGCCAAATCTGAGCTAGCCTCACAGTTGCTGGCGTACGTTTTATTCATATTTAAATGTTAGGAGAAAATAAAAGATGGAGCGACACAGTAGGGTATAGTGGTAAGACCGCAGAGCAGATCTATATTATCCAATGAAAACTGATACTGAAATGATTAAACTAGTGCCAGTTAGCAAGGAAAGCCTACACTGTGCAGTGCAGCATTTGGCAGAGATAACTCACGTCTCTCAGCTCTGCTCATGTGGCAACCACTCCTGGTTTCACTTTTCTACTAAACCTCATCAACACCTTCAAGAAAAAAGTCTTTCACGGGAAAGAAAAATAAGATCACAAAATTTGAAGTACGAATTTAAAAGACCTGTGCATTATATTGCAAGCTGTTGTGATAGTGGTGATACTGCTCAAACTTCCTTTCATGAAGGTAACATAATAACTGTTAGTGGATATGACATAACTGTAATAGACATAATATGGTGCATAAACCAGACAGGATTATTTTTATTATTGCCATTCCTATTGTAGCTCTTAGCCTTACTTTCTTTACAGTTTAGCCTATTTTGTGGCTACCTACTTTGGAGTGTCACTGTACCTATCATATGTTATCAATATTTTTGTTTCCATTTGCTCTTTAGTTGGGTTGATGCTTGGCATGTCCACACCGTAACATTATAAAAAAACAACCAGGAAAAAACAAACAAACAAACAAACAAAAAACAACCAAAAACCCACAAAAATTACGAGCCCCAAAAAAACAAATTATAATTTTCCCATTTCTTATTTTCAACATATTCTACAATTTTTGATTTGCAGATTTGGGATTTCAGGTTTATTTTCTCAGAAACCTACAATTTTATTACAATATAATGTGCAATGTAAAACCAATTTACCGACTTTCTTCACCTTCTTGTTCCATCTACCTTCACTGGGATGACTGGTGTTTCAAATTGAACCTAGGATTGTTGTAACTACTGATACTTGGTAAAGGCTTTTAAATATACTTACTTAAAATAAAAGAATATGCCAAGGGAAATCAGAAGTGATGCAATTGAAAGACCATGTCCAATGATGGCCAAGTAATACAAGTTCAGAGCAGTCTGCAATACAAGAACAAAAGCAAGCACCTGTGATGCACACAGAACTATTGTTGATAAAGCACATACTTTTACATCTCTTCTGCATGTAAAAGGACTAGAATAGGATTATATAATGATGAGCCAAGTCTAAAATCCTGCAAATCAACATCTTACTGAAATCAGTAAGACACACAGCAGATTTGCTGAATTCATCACTACAAAGAGCTGCCTTACACTTTCACAATAAAGCATAACTATCTGGATTCCATAGGAAAAATTAGCTCATACATACAAATTCTCACATACTCGAAACTGCATGTATCTTCTGAACATTATTTCAATTTAAGACAAACTGCAGCTTGCTACATATACTGACTTTTGAAAAGATTCCAGGTAAAGTTGTAAGATGAGACAAGGGTACCTCTTTGTACATGCCAGAATTTTTCAAATTATAATGATTTAAAAAAAAAAAAAAAAAAAAAAGGCAAGCAATCCGATAGGTTTAAAAATAAGCATTTGGAAAAATTTTGTAAGTGAGAAAAAATGAGGGTTACCTCTGAAACGCTGAAGTTTGGCTGCATTATATATAATGACGGCCTTTCTATAACAGGTTGATATCCCATATCACCACCTTTCGGTGACCAGTTTAGACAAAGGTGCATGTTAACAATTTAGAAGATTTCCACCCAATTTAGAACTGACACGAAACAGCAGTACCTCAGAGACTGCTGCTGAGGGCAGCAACAATAGGAATTGAACAATGGACAACAGTCACATCTATTGTGCATTATCTAACCCGCCTTCCAAAAAACCCCAAAAGATAACGTTGTTTAAGAGAACAACACATACGACTGTAGCAAGCAATAAGGTTTTCTTCAGAGCTATTATTTCATTTAAACAATAGGTTCTGATGCATGACAGTTGAAATACGCTGGCAAAACAGCCTGAGGGAAACTAGCTCATTATTCATAAAGGACGACCTGCATGGATCTACTCCTGCCTAAATAATATTCTCTCAGTTTCCAGACAAATATTAGGAAGAATCAATGAATTATAATATCTCTGATAGTAGCATTAAACTGCTATTAGCATATTCAATGTCTCATGATTTGAGAAAAAGCAATACAAAAATGCCTTGTTCTCATCTATTACCACCTTTTCTCAATATGTTTTCTATGTAAATACCTTAAAGCACTCTTGACAGCAATGATGGAGGCAGTTGGGATTTCTACCAGATGTCAGTATTCTCGACACAATCTGCTATTACTGAGCTTTTTTTCCATGAGGTCTAAATTAATTTCCAGTCTACTCTGACCTGTATTTTATATTCTCAGTTCTTCAACTTACTGCTTCTTCCCATGACTGAACGTTTCATAAAGAATATTAGCGGACATATGGGCGGAGGGGAGGCAGGGCAAACTATGCAATTTTACCCATTATATCTTCACACATCAGAGTATCTTGAAAAGAGGGCATTTGGAGGTTTACCAAACTTTATTTTTCTTTTTCTAAATCTCTTAATGTATGAGCATCTTCAAAATAAACTGAAGTCTATAGAAATGCCATCTATACATATATCCACATCCATACGTGTGTGCATAGTCTACTTTTAATGTAGAGAAAACAACTCTCTCAAAGCATTTTGCTGCCTGACCTGAGATAATTTTGTATGCTTGTAAAATTTCACTTAAATAAACTTGAAGTATAGGTTTTCTATTCATGTAAGCAGTTTAATATCTCAGAAGCTGAAAAAATGGCACTTGGGAGCCAGGACACAAGACATACACAGGAAAAGGGACACAAGAAAAAACAAAACCTGTCTGATACTTCTCATTTACTTCCCTTTGGCCTCCAAAGATCCTGTGGTAAATCTGCTCAACTAGAGCTTGCCTACACTTCTGCAAAAAAGAGAAGATTATCTCTGCTTTTCACACTGGGGAAGAAAAAAACCAAAACAAACCCCAAACATCTGAACTCTACTTAGAACTGCCTTGAAGATGCATTAATCTCAAGTAAAACTTTGGTTGTACACCTGCTGAAAATCTGTCACTGAGTTAACTGGATAAACCTATGCACTCAGCACATCTTCCAGAGATGTGCAAACTTCCTGCAATTCTGCTAAACTTGGACCCTACTTCAAAACTGCAAAGCAAAATGCAAAGGTATGCTCTTATAAGGCATGCACTTTGCCTACCAGTAGATGACTGTGGATCACCTAGACTAGTAGCTACACATTTAAAATAACCATAAACAAAATTAGTATTGTATTATTCAAGCAGTTGAAATCAGCTGTAAAAAACAAAGCAGGTGGTTTGGGTTCTTCCGAGTCTGTTTTGCCCAATTCATCCTTTCTATTCAACATGCTTTCTTCTGACATATTGATGTTGCATCAACTCTAGTGCCATTCAAGTTTTGAAACTTGTGAATTTTTTCAGATCAGTTTCTTGACACTGGTAACATGCATTCATTCCTCTCCTACCTTCACTTTTTCATGCGTATAGATATTACACTGGGTATAGTTTGTCCACGTCCTGTTGCTTTCTGGATGTCTAAACCAATTACCGCTCGAATCACAGATCTTCGTAACTTTTTCTACAGTCAGAGTAGATGGAAAGAAAAACAAAAACCACAACAGTCAGCAGTGAAGTTCTACTTCCTGATGCCTAGTATTTAAGAAGAAAACTTGGCAAACAAATGACAGTTTTATTAATATGACTAGAGAGACGTTGCTTGTTATTATGAATTCTGAGAAATTTGAGGCCATTGCTTTTGCTTGGCAAGGGCAACTGATGATGTGTTTTTCTTAAGAAAACAAATAGACTTCCCACCTCCGATCCAGTAAGTATCAAAATATATCAAACTGTTAAGAGAACTACCAGATGAAGTGACAAGAATATTTAAATGGCTTGTTTAACATCCAAGATCTAAACTGAAGTCTGACATCCTACCACTGTAAATTAGGATTGGACAGGCAGTAAAACTTCAATGGAGAAACTGCTCAAGAACCAAACTGGAAAATTTCTGGGACCACATAATGATTTCTATTGTCAAATAGAGGCATGAAAGGACCCTGGGAAATACCAAATGCATCAGAAACAGACAGGAGTGGATGTCTATAACATTTTCCACATGCTCACAGATGCAAAGTTTAACCTACAGAAACAGGAAAAGATTCATTTGTGGGAGAAACTCTTGTTGTCTTCAAATACTAAAATGAGGTAAAAGAATGTCATATTTCTGCTTGTCTGTCAGAAAAAAAGCTCATCTAAGAGGAAAAAACTGTGATCTAACTTCAATTTCTATTTCCCAATCTACAGAATCCCTCAAGGACATATTTCAGAAAAGAAAATAAGTAAACTTGCCAGTTTTCTGTGTGATAAAGGGAAAAATGTAAATAATGGGTTTGGAGTTTCAGTCACTAATTCTGGAGCATTAGTGACGTGAATGGAGCAAACAGGAAGTATCAAGCATGCAAAATCTCATTTTCTTGAGAAATGTGGTGATGCAGAAGCTCATGCACACTTACCTGATGGGTTGAAATCCTGAAAGTAGTCAGGACAACGCTGTACTGACACAGTTCCAGCAGCAACATCACTCCAGCACAACCAGCCATCCCATGTCCTGTTACAGTAAGGACCTGCAAACAAGTAGAGACCAGATAATAAAATAACAACACTTCTTTCACAACAGTCTTTCAAAAGCAAGATGTAGGACTGCCTAAGCTAAGTTTATCACTTGCAGCAATGCGAAAAAAGACAATAAACCATAAGATTATTTAAGCAGTAGTTAATTAAAACTCCACTTAGTGAACTAGTTCCTTATATGTACATTTCTTTGAACACATTTTAAAATCCATCATCATTCAGCTTGAAATGGCCTATCTCTACAGTATCCATTTCTGACCTCCATACATTCAGTTCCTCCAAAGAATCACTTCAGAAGAGAAAAAAACTCATTGTAAAAGAATGCCATTACCTCTTCTTGCCTCAAAAAGCCTTTCAGTGTTTCCAGAAGTTATAAAGTCAGAAACAGTGAATACAGTGACAGGTGGAGTTACTGAGGTTAGCTCTGAATGAGTTACCAGAAAAATCATTAATGACACTAACACAACCCTCAGAGCAGGGAACTTATGTGAATATGTGATACTTTCAATTTTTAAAGGCCGATGTGACCAAGGAGACAGCGGTATTATAATATCACGACATGAAAGAGTGGTAAGACTAATCAATCATCATATTTGAATCTATTTAAATCAACATTTTCTTATCAGAAATGGAAGCTCTGTGTTATGTAAGAAGTGGTGCTATGGGCAGGTAATTTATTTTCAAGAATCCCAAAGTGATGTTTCTAAAAAACTGTACAAATATAGTTACAGCCTGAAAAACAATTTCTACCAATACAAGAAATGAATATATCTAAAGGATCCTGATTTGCTGTAATTATATCTGTTGACCATTTGCCTTCGTAAAACATTGTAAGAATATAATCTCTACCTTCTTTCCTATGAATAGGATCTTGCATAATTTTCTGGTAGCATTCATACTGTGCTGTCATAATTTTATTCCGTGTAACGCTCAGTTGAGTGAAGTCCTCCGTCATATTCTGGTGCCCTTCAGATGGTATAGCAGTGGCAAAAAACTAAGAAGAAAAAGACTTTTTTTTTTTAGCAAGTCACGTACAAACTCCAGTATAAACATCTTAAACTTCAATCTTTTTAAATATTATATTTTAAATATTATTTTACTGAAGGAAAATTATCTTCAAATCTTATTACTGACAATATGATTTTGTGTTTTTCTGGTTAATTTAGCAATTCTTTTTACTAATGAATGTTTACAAATATCTCCAGAACAAGCATGGGGGAGTAACAATCTGCAAGATTTGCAAATAATGGAAAAATGCATAAAAAGCACTAAGACAGTCAGAAGCATATAAACAGCTTTTGCAAAATCCAGTAAAATATACTTAAGTTACATTAGCCTAAAAGGCACTTGAATCAGGCCCAAAACGATCCTTTAGGAAAAGATATTAAAAGAGTCTTTCCATACACCATGAGTCAAAGCTTTTGGCTTGTTTACAGCTACTTGGTTTCTCTATAGTCTTTTGAACCATAAAGTCAACCCTCAGTATACAAAAAAAAAGTGTTCAAAAGACATGACATCCACTTTTATAGTTATAAAAAATAATAATTAACCCCCCCAAACCTTAAGAAAGTGGATCTTGATCAAAATCTGAACATTTAATTGCATTTTTTTTTTTTAATAATTATTTTATGGGAAGCTACTAAACTTCATGGAAAAACAAAGCTGCAGATTGAAATACTGTACCACTGTCATACAAGGGGTGAAATTAAAAGTTTGGAGGATGTCCTCTGAATCTGAGTTAGATGCCTCCTCCGGTCTTCCTGAGGTATGCATAGTACTGTTTATATGTCACTTGTCAACTGTTACTATAAAGTTCTCTGATAGCAAAGGATATGCTGGGTTCAGCAGAGGTAAATACAATTTGTGTTCCTTTACCACAGGAGTTTAAAGGAGAACAGAGGTAGATAAAGATCCTGCTCTGCAGAAACTACATTTGAACACAAAATTAGTTGTTTCTGCATTTCCATAGTAATACTTTTTATGGTATTCTGTACACACTTGTTAAAACTATGATTTAAAAAAACTGTAAGACTCACCATAGTAACTGACAAGAACAACAGCAAAAACGTGATCCAGTTTTTTGTCATTTTTATATCCGGTGCAGTGAATTTTATATTGTGGTTGAATGAACTCAAACTGCAATGGAAAAAAAGTAGGAAGAAATTTAGTAATTCATGAAAGCCAAAACTGAAAAAAACCCTCAGATTTTCTTTCTGAATTAAATCATGGTTTTCATTCCCAATCAATGGAGGCCCTCTCAGTTTTTATTCATGTATAGTGATGCCATGTGATATACATGCAGATGTACAATGTGATGTGAAAAAACTGCACTCAATTCAACAGCAGTGAATTATAGTAGTAGGGTTTTTCCTGCACGGCTGACTTCATTGCCTCAACTAAGACCAATTCTCCAGAGGGTTTGTCTGAGTCAGGTAGAAGGTATGAACTCTAACAGATATGTGGCAACTAGCCCCAAGATACGAGTTTATGCTTTCACATCTCTGCCTTTGGACAACCATTGCAAACTGCAGTTCAGTTCCCTCTCCAGTAGACTCGAGACACACATACACACACACAGAGTTCCTCTTTCCTGTTCTCTTCATACCAGCTAATTTTTGATTTTGCCATTTCTGGAAGAACTGATCTAGGAAGTAGCCCCTTTATCTTGAAGTTACAACTTTGTAAGGATGATAATGGCAACCCAAGAATTAATTTGGAGCTGTAAAATAGTTCCTTTATCTGCAGAAGCTGTGAACTGGTTTCTTTATCTGTAGTTTTAAAAAACCCCAGAACTTCCCAGAACAGCTATAATCATCTTACACTGCAGACTGTTCTTGGAATTGATTCTTTAAGTGTAAAATGCACCTAAAACTTATTTATTAAGCACCTAGACCATCTATAAAGCATAACCCTGCTGTGACAACTCCTTCAAAAGAAGGGAAATGTTTAAGAAATTTCTCATACTATATTTCACTGTGTCCTCAAGTATCCTGATAAGATCACAAAGCTGAGCCTGGGATTGTGATAAGAGCTTATCTTCTGATTGCATGGTAGCAAAAGACCTCTCCTCAAAAGACCTCCAATGATCAAAGGCCTGGGAAGCCTGCCATGTGAGGAAAGGCTCAGAGAACTCTCTTTGTTCAGCCTGGAGAAAAGAAGGCTTAGAGAAGACTTTATCACAATGTTCCAGTATTTAAAGGGTGGCTACAAAGATGGAGACTCCCTTTTTACAAGGGGTCACATGGAAAAGACAAGTGATAATGGGTACAAGTTACTCCTGGGGAGATTCCAATTGGACACGAGGAAAACTTTTCACAATGAGAACAATCAGCCACTGGAATAATCTCCCCAGGGAAGAGGTGGATTCCCCAACACTGGACACTTTTAAGATCCAGCTGGACAGTGTGCTGGGCCATCCTGTCTAGACCATGCTTTTGCCAAGAAAGGTTGGACCAGATGATCCTTGAGGTCCCTTCCAACATGGTATTCTATGATTCTGTGATTGTGCTGTTGGGAGCAGAGTACCTACATGCCAGACTGCCTCCTGACCCAAGCCACACTCTCCCATGGATCACACTTGCTCTTGTCTTTGAAAGTTTCCCTTAGCCAGAGGTCCTGTTCTACAAGAGACTGGTGGATGACCAACTGATAGTACGTACATTGACCAGCTGAGGTAATTTTACAAAAAGACCATTCTTTAAAAAAACCCTGCCCTATTTGCAAAGAGCAAATATTCTATATATCTTTTCTGCTTTTACACTAAGACTGTGTCCTCTTAACACAACTATAATAAAATAAACAGCATTTTGTAGGATATACTGACTACAAAAGATGTTGTACAGCTTGATGCAAATACAAGAAATGTGTTGTAACATCAGTTACTGCTATGCCTGTTTATCCCAGACTAAAACTGTCTCTGTAATCTTTCCTCTATTTTTACCATTGGCATACGATCCTCTAACACTGATTGCTGGAAATTCGCGCAGGTAATTCAGTGAGACACCAAAATTCAAATATGCTGTTCTGAAAACTCTTAAAACACTAACAGGAAGACCAATTAGCATACATGAAATATACTCTTGGTCTGAGCTAGTACTTCGCTAGAAAATCCACGTGTGATGAGAACTATAGTGAATAGATAATTGTAAAACACACTGTTAACTAAAGAAAAAAAATCTAAATATCTGTGTGTCGTGACAATTGGCTGAAAACCAAATACAAATTGAGATATCTAAATTAGCAAAGAGGCAATAGGACTTCAATTCTACATGATAACTAGGGGCAAGGGAGATTAATTCAAACCTCTCACAAGTTTCATTTATTTATAGTTGTGTCTGTTTACCTAGGACGGGAAAAAACCCCACTGGCTTTCTAAGGAAATGGGAATTAATTAATTGGTTGTAAAGTAATTGAGTAATCTCTCTCCAAAGTATGCTAAAGCACATCTGCACAGGGATAAAACCCATTAATGATGTGCACAGGACAAGCAAAGAGACCAGTCAAGTAGAACATACCAAACATGATTTAGTGTATGTTTTTCTATATATGTATACAAGAGTTCAAATAATTTTCCCTATAATAGCAGCAAAAATCCTTATGCTAAAACAAATGTTGGATGGCAAATTTAAAATGCATATTCAAATATTACCCTCTCTTAACCTTGTTTTTTATTTATCTAAAAGATACAATATCATATAAACAACTGCTTTGATTCACAGTCCATGATTATTTCTGCTTTACAATATTAAAAGTCACCCTTTAGTTTGGTTCCTTTAATGGTGGAAATCTTTTCATATCTAGTGGTTTTGTAAACACTTCCTATCAACTACTGCAGTATCCACTGCTAAAATATTAATTCTTCCCAGGAGATAAACGATTAAGTCAAGTCTATAATTCACTCTATGCGTTTCACTCATTTCTCACAGTTGCTAACTGCAAAAAATTTATAAAGAAGAAAATCCTTTTTCTGAACATCATTACTTTTGGACTTTTTGGACAAAATGCAGGATGAATGTCATTGAGATGCCTATTTGGACTTTAGGAAAGCATTTCTTCCATCACTACATGAAATAATTCACTCAACATTTACTCCAGTTGTCTTGGACAAGAATTTTCACAGGAAGATTAAAAACTTCAAGAATGAACAGCAATGTAGTCCATTGACTACAAGCAAGCCAGTGCTACTGAGAATGTCACGCTGCTTTTATTAATCATCTTTTCTGGTGAGATGGAAAACAAATAGAATTCTCAGAAAGTTCTCTCCCTCTCAGAGCTGGGAGGTAGTAGATGCACAAGGAAAAGCAATCACTTAGAGACCTATTCTTAGGTTTCTCTAATTAATAATGCTTCCCAAATTGTTGTTCTGCTGTTGAACATCTTTGACACTTCTAGTGTGGGGAAGAGAGGGCAACTGTACTGGACTGAGATTGATTTGAGTGTATTGAATATTAGCTTGAGAGAAAAGATGGTGGAAACTTAGACAGAATCCCCGGACTCCACTATGTGACAGTGGGGATCTGAACAAAAGCCTTCAGGACCATGCTTCACATGGTAAGTATTGAATGAAACTAAGTCAGTAGACACAACACTACAGCTACCTGCAGCCCTCTGGCTTAAGTAGTTTCCCAGTAAAAGGGAATGTCAGTGGGAAGAGAATGAGGAATTGCAATAGCAAATCAGATCTTCAAAGTCTCATTTTTATTTTTAGTGCATGTTGTACTGAACCCTGGGATAACTTAAAAAACCAAAACAAAACAAAACAACATCTGCTGTTTTTCCTTTTTATTACATTCTCTGTTACCTAAATTAACGATACTCCAAAGGCCTATATCGTGTTTGTCACTGATAGCAGTGACATCTACTGAAGAAGGAATTCAAAAGGAACTGCAAGCTGAACTTAGCCAAAATAGTCACTGCTATAGCTTTAACAGATGTTCACAGTTCTCTTCCTCCTGCTTTCTCTACAGAGCCATCCTGCCTCATCAGCTGTTTCCACTTTTAACCTTTTCCCATCCTCCCAAGAATAAATGTCATCCTTGCTGAGTTCCAAACACTTCCCATTTCAATGATACGGTAAAAGGGTTAAAAAAAAGTAGTAAGCAAGAAAAATAAGTTTTTGATCTTCAATCACCTGACCACATTTAGTACAAAAGAAGAAAACATAGGCAGCTTCTACCTTAAGCAGTTGCCCTTAAGTCTGACTTTAAGTCAGAATGCAACTCTGTAGGAGTGGGATAGAAAGGAGAGTCTACTTATGTCATTGCATGTACAAATATTTTTCACTAATTAGTAATCTTTGATTTGCCCTGGAAAAGGAAAAAAAAAAAAAAAAAGGCAAAACTAAGCAACCAAATCCCAAACCATTTTCAGTGTAAATTACATATCTTGCAGTGTATTATAACCTTGCAAGACAAAAGTTGAACATGTGCAAATATAGATGTACAGCCTTCCTCTCTGACTGAAAATGGGGGTAAGAATGGCCTATTTTCTTGACCACCCCATCACTCTTGCTGTTGTTCTAGCACTCCCTGATTTTGTTTTTTGCAATATCTCTCAGAAATAGTTATACATGCTATTTTGTTATTTCTGGTTCTTTTTAGACAGAGGCATACAACTCAAAGTATTTAAAACCCCAGGCAACATTTGGTTGTTTCAGCCCAAGATACAGGCAAAAACAAGTTGGAAAATGCCCAACCCTTTTCAAGTGTTCCTAATTTGAACTGCTGTAGTATACTCTTAGAAAAAAAACCCCAAAAAACAGTAGTCTAAAATGGAGTTACAGGTAGAGCCTTCACATACATCTCCACTCACATAAGCTTTCTGGAAACACCCTGTCTCATTCTCTGAACCCACAGCATTGCTCACACGCACAGAGACATTATTCAAAACACCGCCACACTGAAACATTCCTCCTTCTCCCTTTCTTTCCATGAGTTTTTCCTAGGGAGCAGCTGTGGCACAACAGCATTTACTCTTTTCTTGAGGATTAAAATAAAGAAGAAACAGAGTGGCATATCTCATTTTTACTGTTCTATTACAACAACTTCATCATGCATTAGGTGGTAGTTCAGCTGAGTATGAGAAAGTACTCGCTGTTTATTTCTTGGGCCACATGCTATGCACGCCCCAAGGTCTCA